TTCTCTCTCTCTGTCTCTCCCTTGTTGAATGGCTCTCAATATATGCACTGTTTACGGATAGCGTTTCCTAAAATTACACAAGAGCACGGTGACAAACGAGGTAAGGCAATTAAATTTGTCCATAGATCTCATTATTTCGAGAGTGACGTAAGCCACCTTTTCAAAACATAAAATCAAGTTAGCGATTAGATTCATCATTCCGACATGATCCTCTTTTCATTTTAAAAAAAATTACTGATTCAGTTCAGCAGAGAGTGATTTTTGATACACTCTGTGATTCACTGAAATTATTTTCTATCATTGATTTTACAACAAAATAAATATTTAAACTTAAATCTGTTGAAAAATCATACAATTATAATACCTGTATTTACTTTTGATTGATGAAATATTAAATCCTGATTTCTCGATCAAGGCTATTGGTCATCAATGATACTGGTCCTGAGTTTAATAATGATTCTGAAATCAATTGTTATATATGAAAAATTACATATAGACCAATTCCGATTATTAGAATTTTTGGCCCACCCTATATTAAAACATGTTGCAATCAACGAAAGCCCCATAAGAATAATGGAATTGATTTCGAGGTTGATACCTGAAGTTCGTTGCCACGTGGAAATGCACCTATGTATTGAGTGTTGCAGGTGATCGTTGGATTTGATAGCGAAGCGATTCGAAAGGATCGAAATGCAAACGAACTGGGTCTGATTGTAGGAGCAGCTGCGGAAACGAAAGGACGAGGAGGAGAGACAGGAGATACTCAATCGGTCGTTGCGCGACTCGACCAAGTTGCACGCCTTGGAGAGCCACGCGACCAGTCTCTCGGGTCAGGAAAATCTCGCGTACTCCCAAGACGAGGTGACCACCACCACCACCGTGGTTGGCCGTGGGACGCACGTAACCGCGAGCGCGGCGCAAGAAGTCGAGGAGCCTCCCCGGCCCCTCAGTAAGTCATATTTTCCCTCCAGATATACGTCTGTTCAAGGGCCACTTCACTCGATGGCCGGCACTAACGACACTCGTCATGGCCCATTAGGCCTCTACTTATGCTCCGATAATTCCTCCTCGGTCCCCCACTTTTTGATCCGAACCTAGAACCTCAGACTTCGTCAAGACTTCATCCATCCCTTCCTCGTCGTATTTGCATTCACCTTTTTCCACCGTCGACTCGATCCACTTGCGACGGTGTTAGTTATCATCAATGGATTACACTTGACCTAACCTACAAGTCAACCTGCACTGGCTCTACCATTTTGCACATTCTCGTTTCATGTTTTATTTCCCTAGTTCTCAACTTCTAACCGATATATTTCCCTATAAATTATGTATATTCTATAATGTAGAATATATTATTGAGTATAATAGAATATATTATAGAATATAATATTCTATAATATATCTATACATCTATATAATAATAATTCTATAATACATCTATATATAACATAGAATATAATCTAATTCTATAATAAATCTATATATAATATAAATAGAAATATTATTATCTTTCTATCTATGATACATCTACATATAATATATAGAATGTAATCTAACTCTATAATAAATCTATATATAATATATATAGAAATACTATTATCTTTCTATCTATAATACATCTATATATAATATATAATTCTATAATACATTTATATAATAATAATTCTATAATATATCTATATAATAATAATTCTATAATACATCTACATATAACATAGAATATAATCTAATTCTATAATAAATCTATATATAATATAAATAGAAATATTATTATCTTTCTATCTATAATACATCTATATATAATACTATATATATTTATATTATATATATAAAGATCAACATGAAGAATTTCGAGTATTATTACACAAGGATTAGAGGAAGAAATTAGAAGAAAGATCTTTCTCATGTATGGGGGGGGGAGTAGTAGAACGGTAGAAAGCAAAGGTGGCCCCGCGGCCCGAAACGTTTGAAGAATCCTTCTAACAGGCGTATTGTTGCATATTTCAGCGTACGGAGAGGTCGTCGCAACACTGGAGAGGCTGCAGCTACAGTTGCGCAATATTTCCGGCGCTCTGGGCATCTCGGGACCTGGCGTCGAAGCCGAACTCGAGGCGGTGCGGACGCTTCTGGTCCAAACTCGATTCGCGTCTGCCCTGGCCACCCATCACGCTCTCAGAAATCGCTTGAAACCCAACAAAGTTCTCAAACATCACGCAGATGATGCTTCCAGTTTGTCCCGCGATGTACGTACTCTGTATTTTTTAAAGAATTCGTTTGACGTTAGTCCATCACAGGGGAGGGAAACGTTTGTTAGAATGCAATTAAAAAATTGTACTTTGCAGCTGTACAGTTTTACAGAACTTTTATTCGAAACAAGGCAAGACTTTCCACTCTGGAACTTAGTGATGTAGAAATGTTGCAATATATAACTATATTATACTGACTGTGGATCTTTTATGCTGCATTTATATATCCTTTTTGATTCTATTTTGGTCCCTAGCCAAGTACCTTAGGACAACTCATATATTAATTCTCAACATTGTGATAAGCCTGCAATAGTGAAACAGGAATAGTAGATCAATGTTAATGTTTTAACAACAGCAAAGGACATAAAGTTTGTAAAGTACGAGTGTACAATGTTCGTATTGCCACAAAATTGCTTCACGTTGTGGAATACAATATAGACAAGAGGATATTTTTCTGATGTTACACCAGATTATATATTACACTATTATGCTATAGAATAGCATACTATATTATACAGATTATATATTATATTATACTATGTTTTATTATTATAATATTATACTATTATATTATACTATGTTTATATATATATTTATATATATACATTATTATATGCATGTATGTATGTATACATTATAGTATGTATATTATAATACATATTATAGTATGTATTATACATTACTTATTTTATATCTACATATCTATTATACATTACTTATCTTATTATAATTAATCCTCATGCTGTTCCATCACGTATGACTATTGATCACTATGATTGAATGTATACAGGGAAAGCTATCCGCTAATGAAAGTTACCTTTATTTGTCTTCTGATTTGGATAATACTTTATGATTGAACGAAAGAATTTTATTATGACACAATTGAAAATCAAACCAAAAAAAGAAAAAAGGAAACTTCCGATATCAAATTTAAAAGAATTTTTATCTCGATATTTTTAGTTTGTAGAGACGATGTACACGTGATCTTTTGAATTTCAGTGCCATCTATATCCCAATGTCACGTCGAGAAAACACATGATTCAGATCTGAAACCAAGTGGGAAAAACAGCGGCTCTTATTTCCCTGTAGTCTTCCTTCAATTGCTTCTTCTGACTGTATAATCTTGTAAAATCTCGTTCACGTGTTCCAGTGTGTAGAGATTCTGGAGAAATGGCAGTCGTCGTCGACGGCAACAGGTGTTGGCGGAGCGGAAACGATCGCCGTGGTGGAGGAGCTGACTGGGATTTTGACGAACTACGACATGGAGGCCCTTCTACTTGCCCACGACTCTATTATCTCTTACGTGGACGGGTTGCAAAGGAAACAGAGCCCGTCGTCCTCGTCGCCAAGCGGCCCACCGAGCCCTACCTCCAGCTGGAGAGGCTCTCGGGTCGTAGATAACATTAAAATTATCAGAATCGAGAAAACTAACGAACCCCTGGGTGCTACGGTTAGGAACGAGGGTGACGCCGTTATAATAGGTACATTTCATTCATTCTGTCGATAACCGCGCAGAAAGTTAAGGTTTAGGTTAGGTTATTAATTCCAATTATGTTTGTGTAGGTCGTGTGGTACGTGGGGGGGCGGCAGATAAGTCTGGACTCCTGCACGAAGGCGATGAAGTCCTGGAGGTGAACGGTGTGGAGATGCGCGGCAAGAGCGTGAACGAGGTGTGTGATATTCTGGCCGGTATGCAGGGTAGTCTGACTTTCCTTGTGCTCCCAGCACCCACAAGTCACAGGAATAATTTGTCCAACCGAAGAGAAGACACCAATCAGGTACTGAAACAGTGAGAATAAATAGTAAAGTACTTACCCTACTTTTTGAGTTAAATATCACTAAATACTAGCAACAAGAATCCTTGTAAATTAATTACAAATACAAGCCTTTGACATATGAATGTTGTCTCTGAGACATTTGCAGATTAATATGTATAAAAGAAATATTTTTCTACATGCCTGATATAGAAAGAGTATAGAAGTTATCTCTGTTATCTCTGTTAAGTCAGTCATGCTCTATAACTGACTAATTGGTTAGCGCTCATTGATCTAATTTTTTCAACGCCACCTCAGATACAACACATACGGGCCCACTTTGACTATGATCCCGAGGAAGATCCTTATATTCCCTGCCGAGAATTGGGTGTCAGTTTTCAAAAGGGTGACGTGTTACACGTGATCTCTCAAGAGGATCCCAATTGGTGGCAGGCGTATCGAGAGGGTGAAGAGGATCAAACACTCGCTGGTCTGATACCTAGTAAAGCCTTCCAGCACCAGTATGTTGATATATATATCCTCTCTGTTGCTTGTAAAAAAAATTTTTTTTTTTTTAAATATTGCCGTACAACGTGAATTTTATTTTGTCAGGCGAGAATCCATGAAGCAGACCATCGCCGGTGACAAATCGACCGTACGCGGTTCGAAGAAATCCAGTACGTTGTTGTGCGCGAGAAAGAATCCAAAGAAGAAGAAACGGAACAAGTTCGGGGCGAACTACAACGACGACGGGTATCCACATTACGCAACGACTGCCATCGACGGTAGATATGGAAGGGATTATATGAAAGATGTCTGAGCGCGTTCGCTCGTTCTCTGTTTGCCAATCAAATATTTACATTTCCCAGATTATGACAGCGAGGAGGTGCTCACGTATGAGGAAGTCGCGTTATACTATCCGAGGGCGAATCACAAGAGACCAATAGTCCTGATAGGGCCTCCAAACATTGGCCGACACGAGTTGAGGCAGAGGTTGATGCAAGACAGCGAACGTTTTGCAGCGGCAATTCCTCGTAAGCGTTCGGGGGGAAATTTCACGCGTCGCGCATGTATATTTTAACACGTTGAATGGGCCAAGGTTAGAAACATATAATTCGAGTGAACGTTAATACTTTTAAATTTGTCAATATTAGCTTTGTTACTACAATGAAGAAATCAATGCAGTAGAACAAAAATAATTTTGTTTGTACATATATTATTCACGCATATTGTGATATTATATTAAAACACTGCAAACAAAAAAAAAGGTAAATCAGTACAGGCTTCACAATATGTGACAATTTTTTGCTTTTCTTCTACCTGAGTGTTTTGAATTCTTTTTATAACATCTTTTGCAGAACCCGACCCTGGCTTTTTCTACCATTATTTTCATTTCATGACATAGTTTTCTTTGTGGCCCTGTATGTGAAGAAATGCATTTTAATGCCATGGGAGTCGCCTGTAAATGAAAAAAACCTCCAGTAATTTCAACGTAATATCTATCGTATAATAACTGATGTTAATGCTTTAAGCAAGTCATGTGACATTCAACGTGTTAAAGACCATCGCAACATAAAATATTTCAGAGCATCTGTTCTTTTTATCAGTTAGAAGAAAGGCTTATCCGAGCAGTTACGTTAGACGTGTGTGTAAATCACATTTTCTTCAAACATAAATGTAACTTTCTTTGTTTAAGACACGAGTCGCCCGAGGAAGGATTCTGAAGTGGACGGCCAGGA